AACAGGCTCCAGATTGTCCACTGGCGAAGAGGCGGGTGACTGTTACCTGGAGCTGGCCAAATACCTCTACCGGTTCATCGTCGTTCCGCGCCCGCCTCCGGCCCAGACCTCGACTCCTAACTGGCCGAGCTACACGACCACTCCGAGCTTTCCAAAACCCGTGCCTACCGCTGAGCCCTACCCAGTGCCCGTCCCATGTGGTTCAGGAAATTAAAAGAAATTACGCTGTTGTGGAAATAAATGGAATGAAAATGAAACCCAAATTTGAAAAAATTATCGTTAACCGCTCGGGTCGCGCAACAATAAATATAGTGATCGGAGTCAGATGGATTTTCACTAGCAACTGAATTCTTTATATAACAACTGAAAAAATTGCCTTCGCTTCGCTCCTTACAAACTAGAGTGGCGTTTACTGAAATCAAATTGGTTTCAAATGGATTTGATCCTACTATATATAAAAAATAGTGTCTGCGCGTGCGTAGATTTGCATGCAACTTCGGTCTCTACGTCCGGAGGATAAAGTGTGATGAATTTTATGATCCATATTATACGTCATTTGGTGCGTAATGGTTTGGAGGTGACTGCACGCATATCAGATTTATCAAAGCCACCCATTTTCGACATTAAAGGGCACGTTCAGGGTGATTTTTTGGAAAAAAGCAAAGATTTTTACCGCGGCCGGGGGTCGAACCCGGGTCCTCCGCTCGGGAGGCGCGGATGCATACCAGTCAGCCACAGCGACAACCTGGCGAGGGGATGAGGGGCGACCCACGCCGCAAAGGAGAGAAATTGCCTGCCACGCCACGGGCACGCAGTGCGCGCGGTCCCTACGTCCATAGGGTGTACACGTTGGGACGAGTACACGGCCCCTCCCTGAACGTGCGCTTTAAAGCTCAATTTTGTGAAAACTTCGTTGTTAAGAAACAATTAGGATTGACTGGAAGTGGGGGGTTCGACTATATAAAGGGACAGAATAGGTTGCTTTTCATTTTTTTCATCTAGATTCGACAATTATGCAAAGTGAGGGATAAAATGGGGTCTGACGGGGCCAGGGTTGAAAAGTCGCGAAGCGAACAACAGGCTTATCAGGGTTAGCTCCGCCATTTCCTGCAACTTTGGCTCTTTGGACGGATTATTTGTTAACCTGGACTCGTCGGGTAAATTTGCTAGATCTTAAGACGCCGCCTTCCGGCGTATGGCGCAATAGAGCGCTCAAGGAAACCAAAATTTCCTAAAACTCTGTGTTTTGGCGGAATCAAGCGAATTTACTTTCGCTGATTGCAAGTGAAATGTGATCACATTTTATTTTCTCTGTATCGCCCAGCTCGTCAAAACATGCAAGGTTCCTAAGTGAATTTTTTGATTGCAGGTGAATCATAGTTTTGGGGGGAATCTTTGCTTCCTACTTTCATTTGCCAACTTTCATTTTGCTTCCAACTCCCCAAAAATGGCTGCATTTTCCTATGTACTGTCATTGCTTTTCTTGGCTTCGTTGGCGTCTGCTCACGCCAGCTGGGGCACGGCTTTCAAACAGCGCTGGTTGCGCATTGTCGAGGTTTAAGCAACCTTCAAAAAAATTGCTGTTCAGAGTAACGACACGGAAGCACTGCCAAGCGGGTTGAAGACGACCATGTGCCGGTTGATGAACTTTTTGCCTAATGAATGCCAAATTCAGGGATTTGCGCTTGGCCCTTGAGATGGGCTGGGAACCGGCGAGCATCATGGATGACATTGCCTTCATCAAGAATTCGACGAGAGGAGCAAGTGCCGCGACAATTAAACTGCTTAGGGCCAGGATCGATGCAGACAATCAGCTTTACAACAGTGCGCGGACGCTATACAAAATTTCGTGCGTCGGTGATGAATGGAAGGCAAGCGGTGAGTGGGGGGCATGGTGCAGCAATGTGCGGCAAACGGCGGTTTTTGTAGGCGAATGAATCCAAAAAAAAATTTTAAAAAAGCAGAAAAATGTTTAAAAAAGTCGAAAATTTGGATAGAGCGTCGAAAATTATACTAAAAGATTTAAATTCAGCCCGAAGGACCACAATTTAAAATTAGCACTTTATTAAGCTAAAAAGTTTAATGAACTAAAAAAATCGTTAAAAATGAGGTTTTTGGACTGAAATTAAACCTCTTAGTAGAATAGCAGGATATTTTTTGTAAATACAAAAATTGTTTGCATCCCCGTTATTTGCCCCCCGGTTAAGCAACCTTTACCGAACCACGATTACATTATATTCAGTCCTCCGTTCGCACGAATGCCAGGTCAACAACGAGAAAAAAGCCAAACAATTCTGCAAGGAATTAATGCATGGCGAAAAGTACCCGGAGTCGGTATATTGGTTGGAAAAATGCGGGTAGGGGTCGTGTAATCAATCCAACATGGACCAACTACCCAGATTCGATCCTGAGATGTATGATTGCGCGATGATGCGAGCCGGTGCGGCCTGCGGTGGTGATTATGCGGTGTTTGAGATCGCCAGAGAGGCTCTAATCGCGGTAAGCATGTTAGGTTTTTCAATTCAAGAACACTCTTTCAGAACCGCATCATCGATGGTCTGCCTGACAAGAACACACCCGATGGGCTGAAGAAACAAGAATGCATTGAGAAACGAGAAGAATTGCTTTACCGCCTGCTTTACAGTTTCGGGCCATACGATGAGGTGAATTTTTGGTGATGAAAGATTTCGAGATGGAATAAATGTTGTGATTTCAAGAGACAACACCGGAGAACACTCACTCAAAGTCGAAAAAGCGATAGAATCGATAAAAACAAGCAAATTCGCAGCTAAGAAGTGAATGGACGTTATTTTGTCAATCTTTTCCAAAGCATTTTTGGCTACCAGTTTCTAGGCGCCTTCTTGACGTCAGCAAATGGGCTCATTTGGCTAAAGACAGAGGCAGAGAAGAAAATGGCGCACTTAAACAAAAAGCTGGTTTTGAAGAATGTTGCAAACTCGCCGCTTCAAGGGCTTTCGAATGGTGTAACTATCATTCCATTCCGATACTTCTGCGTCGAATTAGATGGGGTGTTTTTTTATTGGGAGACCCTGTAGAGGAAATAAAGCAATTCTTAGCAGGACCTTTCAGACACACCATCATTCCATGTTCTCTCATCATCCTGGGTGAAAAATGCGGCGGGAAACAGGTAATTTACGGTTCGGCACGGATCGCGTTGATGGTGGTAGGCAGGCCCGTACGAGGGGCACCGGGGCACGGTGCCCCGAAATCGGTCGTGGTCCGAAAAGTTCATAAGGGGGGACCCTTATGATTTTTTTCGCAAAAATTTTTCTGTCTGCGGCGTGTGTTTATCACTGTATCGAGACGATTTTTACTTCTAGAAAACCTATTTTTATAAATTTTTTTTGCCTGCGGCGCTCGTTTTCATTAGTGCACCATTTTTGCTGAACAAAATTTCGCTTGCGCGCGCCGTTTCCGATGTGTTTTCACACGAATTTAAGCGTTAGAAACGCGGTTTTCTAAATTCTAAATAGCGACAATAACGCGCCTGCGGCGCTGTTATGTCGCTATTTCGAATCCCTCGAAAGTGGCGACCGGGGAGGTCGCCAAAATTTTTTTTGGGTGGGTGCCCCGAAATCTCGGCTCCCGTACGGGCCTGGTGGTAGGTTACGCTAAGCGACATATTGTTGGCTGGAGAATTGGATCCGTTGTGGCACAGAACCTAAAGGCAAACTTTCAGGCGCAAGTTTTCCAATATATGGCGCGGTGTGCAGGCGAGGCTGCCGAAAAGGCCTTGGCCGTGGCCGCCGGCATGCTATATGAGCACATCTTTGTAAATGGCCTGGAAGGCACCCGTGATATTTTTGGGTCTTCCTTTTCAACACCGCCTTATTTAAATTTTTTCGATGTGGACTTTTGGTAAATAAAAATCTGGCACCCTCTCCTAAACCGCAGCACCAGTTTTTTTCACTGGTGAAGTTCCGAATATTTGCAAACCCTCGCCCGAAATTTTCCGGCTGATTTTTGGCATGGTGGTGGAAAAACACATCCTTTTTATAAGTATGCATACATACAAACATACCTACATACAAACGCAGACCTCCCTCGAAACGCAATTTAAATCGGCTGTTAAAATTCGAAATTAACTTTTTCAAATTTGAAAAGCTGTAATATGCAAAAAGCGTCGCCGGTTCCGATGGTGTATTCAGTTTTGCGATCCGTTGCTTGGTTCTTTTTAAATCGGAAAGGACCCAAAGGAGTCGTATGGAGGTACCTCCAACCAAAAGGGGCTAGCGGGCTACGCCCGCTAACCCCAAAAAAGGAAGGTCCAGGGTTCAATGGAAAATGGCCGCGAAGCGGTCTTTTTCCACCGGTTTTTACCTCGGCTCGAAATTCGGAGAATCGACAACCAACACCCAAAAGATCGGACAATTGTTGGGTCTACCAATTTCCCCAAAACATCTGCTTCGCCCCGATGGCTTCTATTCGATTCGCCTTCACAAATCAGAAATGTTAAGAGTGGCATGGCTATGCTTGGTGCTCCTATTGGATACGGGTTTTTCGCTCCTCATGCGAAAGCATCCAGTAAGTATTTAATTGCGATATTCCAAAGAATTCGTTAAGCTAAGCCTTGCATCGTCAATATTCTTTCGATTTTAGCTCGATTCCTTACACCAGCTCGGGGGTGCATTTGAACGCGTTGAGCAAAGTGTGTGCGTGTAAGAAAGCACCGTGTTTGCACAAATTTTTCCTAGATCTAAGCGGGCGGTACCGGGGCTAGTCTTTTACGATGAATTTATCACGAAAGGGCTCCGGGATATTCAAAACCAAACCGCCGATCCTGAGGAGCAACTGGCTATGGCACGTCGCCTGGCAAAGGCTATAGAGCTCCACGCAGCTACTGAAACCTCGTACCTGCGAAGGCAGCGGATTGCTTGCATTGGACCCGTCTTTAATCGCAGATGTAAGTGTCTGAGCATTGTACAGGGTGCCCCAATAAGAAAACGCCCCCCTAACTCGACGCAGAATGATCGGATCGGAACGATATTTACACCATTCGAAGGCTCTTAAAATGGCGAGTTTGCAACAATCTTCAGCGAAAACCATGTTTTTATGTAAACGCGCCATTTACCGATTTTTTAATGTTTTGCGGTTTTTCGGGGTTGCATACTAGGTTACCTGCCTCAATTTCGCCGAGCAAAAGGCCGAAAGTGGCCGTTAGAGCGCACGTTCAGGGAGGGGTCGTATACTCTGCCCAACGTGTACACCTTATCGACGTAGGGACAACGCGCACTGCCTGCCCGTGCCGTGGGAGGCAATTTCCCTCCTTTGCGGCCTGGGGCGCCCCTCACTCAACCCCTCGCCAGTTTGTAGCTGTGGCTGACTGGTATCCATCCGCGCCTCCCGAGCGGGGGTCACGGGTTCGACCCCCGGCCGCGGCAAAAACCTTGTCTTTCTTGCCAAAAAGCGTCCCTGAACGTGCCCTTTAATTAGATGCAGAAACCGTTCCTTAATGTTTTAAATGCTTTACAAAGTCGTGAGTTTAGATAAAAACATGGTTTTGAAGATTATATCAAACTCGCCGTTTGAAGAGCTTTCGAATGGTGTGACCGCCAAGTGCTTTAGTCACACGTCTCACGGCATGCGCATTGGCAAGCCTGGGGCCAATTGTACAAAACTGCAGAAACGAAACTGGCTGGAAAAACGAAGAAGTAATGAATGACAAGACAATCGATTGCAGGTGGGTGGTCTTTCGTGTAACCAGAGTGCGTATATTTAGATCTCCGATCGCCTACATGACCTGCACTCTGACAAAAGTGGCAGAGAAATGCGGCGGGAAGCGCGCAATTTTTGACATGTTCCGACTGGCTTTGGCGTCGGTAAGCCAGAACCTTTTAGCAGTGAAAATAGATGTTGAAGGTCGAGGAGCAGAAGGCTTTGGGCTTTGGCGATAACTTGTCTGTTCCGTGCATTGCTGAAACCATCGAGGTCATGTATCTACAGCTTTTCCTGAACGCTCCTGAAGGAGTCGTGGACATTTTTGCTGCATGATCAGGATTTTGTATTGAAATAACTAATTGCGCGTCGATAAAGGAAATGAGAATACTGAAAGGCACTGCGACGGACGCTCCTTCAAAAACCCTGATACGATGGAAAATTGTTTGACTCGAGCACGAAGTGTTTTTTGGTTTGGGCCTCGACCAAATTGAGGCGCAGACAGGATTGTGCCGATGGATGATGCACGTCCACGTTGTGCCAAAAGTAAAGCGAGCCTTTTTAGCTTCTGCCAACTGAAATCGACACGTGGCTTCATAACCAAAATATTAAAAGAAACATTGCCGCAACAAAGAGAGAAAATTGAGGACCAATCATTGTTGAGTCATTAAATTTTGCAAACCTTCCCCTACCCGACGGCTTTTATTTGACTCTTTCCGAAATTCGAAAAGAAAAAAGTTTTTTGTTTTTTGTTTTGTGAATTCTGGGAAAGTCATTTCGGGAAAAAAGACAGACCTAATGAAGAAGGAATTGCAAGGGAGCAAAAATTATTTCCTCTCAATCACCCTTCAAAGAAACTTGCATCTAGATCCGGAAATACTCCAAATATCACGCCAGAGCAGAATGGGACTGGCGACGACCGTAATCCCGAAGACGTCTGCAGCAATTGCAAGAACGCCTTCGAGATCGAATTACCGTTTAAATTGCGCTCAAGCGACCTATTGCGCAGCCTGTTTTCTGCGTGGGCACCAGGAGTCTCGCTGGAGTCCGACCGGCGATATTCCAGACACAGCAAAGAAGTAATGTTTTGTTATTCATTGCGGTAATGACGAAAATGGCCCGATTTTGAATTTTTTTGGCCTAGAATGACAATGGAGTTGCCTAAGGCTACCTTCCCTCAGGAGACGATAACGCTTGTGCGGGCTGACCATCTACGTAATTCCCCGGACAGATGTGAGCAGATGAATTCGGGCGTTTTTCGGGAGATGCCGCTGCTTTTTATGATTCGTTAGCCCTTTTCACAGTCATTACTGAATTCATCGTGTTGCGCCTCATCTTTTTCCGTAATTTGTGCTAGTCATAGTGTGCCATTCAAAGCTTTTTTTATAATTTAATATCTCAAATATTTTTCTAAAGTTGCCACATGTGTCCCAGGAAAAACACGCTTTCTAACTCGATGGGGAAGGGTCACACTCAGGCCCGTATGGGAGCCGAGATTTCGGGGGCACCCACCAAAATTTTTGGCGACCTCCCCCGGTCGCCACTTTCAAAACATTCAAAAATAGCGACAATAACAGCGCCGCAGGCGAAAAAATTTAGAAAACCGCGTTGGTAACGCTTAAATTCGTGTGAAAACACATCGGAAACGGCGCGCGCAAGCGAAATTTTGTTCAGCAAAAATGGTGCACTAATGAAAACGAGCGCCGCAGGTAAAAAAAATTTATAAAAATAGGGTTTTCTAGAAGTAAAAATCGTCTCGATACAGTGATAAACACACGCCGCAGACAGAAAAATTTTTGCGAAAAAAATCATAAGGGTCCCCCCTTATGAACTTTTCGGACCACGACCGATTTCGGGGGGGCACCGTGCCCCAGGGTGCCCCCCTCGTACGGGCCTGGTCACACTATTCGCAAGCCTTTATGACCGCGATTTTCAAATATCTTCGCAACCATTTCGTATTCGAACAAATCACTTAATAGCGAATTTTGCCACTTTTCGG